CGAATAGATCCCATTTTTCTCACGGACAGTACAAACACCTCCATTGTGAGTTTTTACTTTATTTTTAAGAAAGAATAATTGTTTTGAGTCTTGATCTTTTGCAATATATTGTTCATTTCTAGTTTATTAATCATTATACTCCTAATATTCGAAATAGTTCTATTATATCAGTTAAGCTTATTTTTATTAATAAAAAAAAATTAATTTCATAGATGATTATATGCTCGATACAAAAGTTAATAAAATGCGACAAATTGAATTTAATACAATTAGTTCTGCATTTGCTGGTTTAACTAGTATTGTTGCTGATTTACATAAAGCTATTTTACATTATGCTGTTGATAATTGTAATATACGTGAATTAAAACTAGATGATAAAGAACACGAAGAAAAATCATCAACAATTGATTTAATACTTCCAAATAATGCATTAAAAAAATCTGCTGAAGCAATGATTAAAGCATTTGAACTTTATAATAATAAAAATGCTTGTATATTATTTATTATTCTACCTAATGAACGTAATATATGTGATCAAAATGCATTAATTGATGCTATACAAAAAATAAAACCAAATATATATATTCATTTAAAAACATTTGAACAATTAATCGATGAACTTGTATTTGATGATAAAACTTTTAATATTTATTTAAAAACATCTCATAATGAAATAGCTGTTGTTTATTATCGTGCTGGTTATATACCAGATCATTATATTAATGAAAAATGTTGGTTAATACGTGAATATATTGAACAATCACATGCTATTAAATGTCCAACAATACGATCACAATTAGCTGGTTGTAAAATTGTTCAAGAATATTTAACACGTGAAAATATTATTGAAAAATATATAAATAATGAAAATTTATCAAAAAATATACGTTCAACATTTGCATCAATGTTTACATTTGATAATAATCAAACACGAGAAAAATATATTAATTTATTACGACAAAATTCAAATGCTTATGTTCTTAAACCAAATCGTGAAGGTGGTGGAAATAATAAATATGATAATGAAATATTAAATTTAATTAATAAAGAAGAAAATTATTTAAATTATTATATAGCAATGGAAAAAATTATACCACCAAAATGTATAACTTGTCTTATTAAACCAAATGGTAAACATTTATTACATGTTGAATGTATTAATGAAATAGGAATTTATGGAACAATGGTTACAAATATTGATACAAATGAAGAATATATAAATGAAGTAACAGGATATTTAGTTCGAACAAAAACAACGGATACAAATGAAGGTGGTGTTGCAACAGGTTATTCTGTTCTCGATTGTCTTGATGTTAGTCAAAATGATAATGAATTATGGAAAATATTTTCTCAAAAACTTTGAATTCTTCTTTTTTTTTTTTTTCTTTTAAACTGATGAATAATAGATTTTATTTATTTTATTTTCATATTAACAGTAGTATATAATATAAGTTAATCATACAATTAAACGAGCATTAAAGTTTTCTGTTGTTTTTTTTTGTGTCTTCTTTGTTATTGATCAGTTTCTCATTTAATACGTTCATCATTATACCATGGTTTTTTTTTCTTTGTACTGAATATTTTTATGACGATTATTTAGTTTGCCAACTATAGAAACGAATTGAAATCTTAATCCTTATATCATTGAAGAATGATCAATTGAAAAAAAAGTAGAATATTGCTTGACTTTATTGTGTAAGTAGATAGGTACATAACTAGAAGAAAAAGTGTATGTTAGTATTCGATTAATTCTGATACTCTTTTGTATACATTTAATTCTCGAATACGAAAGTTAATAAGCAGATGAATTATGGTCGAAGTTTTGGTAAAAATTTTTTTCTAAGTTCTTAATGTTGAAATAATCATTTATTTGTTAAGAGAAATGAATAATAGATTTGAAAAAAAATCCAAGTAATAGGAAAACAATACAATTTAAAACAAACGAATTCTACAAAAAATTAGTTTCATAAGTTATATATAGTTCAATTGAATTATCATCTTTCTACTTCTGGCATCATGTTTTCATCATGATGTATATCATGCATGATTGCATCGTCAAGTGACGTTACACAAAGAGCTCCAGGTGGTAAGTCGGATTCGACATGTGCTAGCGGTGGATGCAGCTGAATATGGGAGGGATGCAATTGTAATACTGTGGGAGATTTATTTTTCAAAATCTTGACCTTCTTCTTGCCTTTTGTTTCGGTTGGTATTATTTGATCATGATCGTTGTGTACAGCCAACAATTCATGGAAGTTTACCATATCGTCACGTTGTGAACGAACACGTTCATGTTTATGTTGGTAGGCTTTCAAGCCAAAAATGACTCCAGCTAAAACTGCCAAACCACCAATAATGCCTACTACGAGACCTACAATTAGACCAACATTGGAACCTTCAGCATTGTTTCCATTGGTCGGATTGTTGTCTGTTGGTGCAGATGAAATATCATATGCTTGATAACGGATAGTAATTGACAAAGTCTTAAGTTCTGGTATCGCATTAGGATTGGACATGGTCACATTCACAGCATTGGCAACTTCTGTATGTGATGAGCCAACAATAAACGCAGCAATAAGACCTGAGGTTGATCTGGAAGACAAGGCAGGAGGCCATCGATCACTACCAATTTCTGAAAAAAAATTAATTTCTCTTTGTTAGCGATGATTGGCAATAAGTATACAAAGTAGAAAAGCGAGCAAAAACTATTACCATCGCTATTCTCCTCTCAACCCACATGAAACAAACACTGACATGACATGACTGTCACAGTCTGTGATAGTTTCTAAAGCTTTTCAATACATCTTCCATTGTCATGGTAGTCGATAGAATATTTTCAATATAATTCTTCGATTCTTTAATGAAATGTAATAGAAACAATAAGATATCTCAATATTGATTAAATTACGTCCGTCTACGTGATTGATTTCTTTTACTAAGTTGCATTTTTCGTTCTCTTATCAGTTTCTCAGACGAGAACCTAGTATACCATAACTCACTTGTTAAGTAAAATCTTGAGTTGATCAGTACGATGAATGTTGTCAATGGTGGAATACTAATCTTTTATCAATTCTCCGACTTTACTAATAATCGATAAAAAGGCATACTAAAAAGTTGAAACACTAATGAGAAAGTAAAATGTTTTATGAAAATCTTTCACATTAGCTCGAAATTCTCAGATGTAGTAAATTAACATAAATGGGTGTAAAAAAAAGAGCGAAAGTGCAGTGTTGTAAAGAGAATTTATTACGAGAGGAACAAAAATCAATTCTTGTTTTTTCTTTTTTTTGTAGAAAAATCTGTATTCAGTCTATTCATGAAGATTTTAAAAAGGTATAATATTAGATGATATTCATCGGCATTGATGTATGTTTTCTATACAAAAACTTTCGTTTATTTCAAGTGAAAAAAAAAAGAGACAGTTTCTAAAAATAATAAAGCTTACATTACTGACCTTTCCACATTGTGATATCACTAGTCACTGGCATACCAATGCATAGTAAATAATTATAAATTATGACTCGTTTTAATTCGAGTGTACCACTTGCTGCCAATGAATCGTAGTTTCCATAAAAGTTCATATATGTGTCTGGATCACCCGTCTCAACTTCAAGCTCAACTTTTAAATAAAAAAGAATAAAATAAATATTCTTGTCTAGTGCATATTGTGATTAACTAACTGTTGGTTGCTTTTACAAGTATACCACTGGTTATTGCTTGAATTGTATACATATTGTTTGTTGAAACCAAACTTATATTTAGCATAAACATGCCAATTCCACTGATCGCCATATCTGTGATTGTTACTGTGCCAGCTGATAAGTTAATGAGAGTTCTTGATGATGAACTAATGAGCAGTGCAACTGAACTATTGCATTGAGGTCGAACGTAAAACGAAACTGAACTTGTCCAAGTCCAACCTCCCCAAATGATCTGTCCAAGACGACGATGAGTGACACTGTCAACAGGCATTATAGATACATTAAATCGTTCGTTTACTGTTGTCACATAGACATGATCTACTTCAATACCAGCTAATGTTGCTTGTGTGACAGTAATCATTGATGAAGTAACTGTAAAATTAGATGTTGTCAAGAATGAACTACGAATGAGAACTTAATAATACGAATAACTAAGAGATAATATGTTAACTTACGTGTTAACACCCATCGGTTGAACAAACGTAAATTGAACTTGATAGGTACCTACAGATCCCAATCCAAATAAACTATATTGTGTTTGTTCATTCGAATAATTGACAATAGAACCAGGTACAAATGTATTCGGTTGTCCTACTAAACTAGAGACTACTTGCCATGGATGTTGAAGGGAACCCAATTTTTGAATAATATTTCCAGTGGAATCGTATGCAACAATCACTGGTTGAATTGTACATGGACTTTGTTCACGACAAGAACTCGGCTGAGTTACAAGTTCGATACGACTAATAACACTCAAGTCATCTTTTGTTTGACTAAATGGCTCTTGTACTGTTAAACCTGTCGGATTGGTATTGTTTGTTGATGGATCTCTAGCCCATGCTGCTTGTAATTCACCTGATTGATATCGACTAAGAATTGTGGCTGTTAAATTTAATAAGACTTCATCTTGTGTTTTATCGTAAGATGTCAAATTAGGTGCTGGCTCATGATGCAATTCAAGTTGTAAATGTGTACCAACCATAGAGTTTTGACGACGTACTCGACTAATCAAAAAAAAGAAACAAACAACTATGGTAAATTAAATTATTATGGAAAAGAATATAATAGAACATACGTATTATTATTAGCCGAGATGATATTAACACGTCGAATCATGTTCGTACTCACTCCAAGTAAAGTAGCCAAATTAGTAACAAGATTGCTCGAAAAGAATGATGATGGGTGTGGGTGTGGGTGTGGGTGTGGTTGAGTGGAATACTTTGACCCACGCTCACCCACACCAACACACCCACACCCCACACCCACCCACAACCACCCACACCCACCCACACCCACCCACACCCACACCCACACCCACCCACACCCACACCAACATCAACACACCCACATCCCTCTCCTACACCCACACCCACGCACCCACACACACCCTCAACTGAATTTTATTAACACGTAAGGTTTTCTTCCCTATATTATGATAGAGAAACTTTTTTCAATTCAGGAACGAAAACCAGATGAAGTTGCATCTTATTGAAGTGCACTCTAAAAGAAATCGGTTTATTACAGAACCTGTGCCCGCGGGAAGAACCTTTGAGGTTTCGTACGAACCCACCGAACTTGAAAAAGATTTGAACAAGCTTGCGAAACCATTTTTAAGTTTGGTGGGTTCGTACGAAGCCTCACAGGTTCTTCCCGCGGGCACAGGTTCTGTAATAAACCGATTTTTTTTAGAGTGTGATTTTTTCCAAGTTTAAAAATTTCGATAATGTAAATAGCTAGATACCCGGTGCTGGACCAAACGCAATCAAGAAGGTCTAATTAGGTTTGTAAAGTGATACTAGACTAAGATTTATTCATATTAATCTCGAAGAAATATTTTTATTTTTAATGTCTCGATTAGTTAAACTTCTCTGTAAAATGAAAATATTCACGATTGACAATACATTCAAATAAGCAACTGTTATATTCGTATACTTATTGGATATGGATCCTGCAAGTATCTCTACGATTATTTTTTACCAAAAGTATCACAACTGTCTTTGATGCATTTCATCAAAAATCTTTTGAATCGCCTAGTTTCGTTCTCAATGTCGCGTGCAAATGAAACACTCTTCTTCATTTCATCTAAATCAGCAATAATTATCGAAACACACTTTGCCGAGTAGTCGACAAGGTTTTGAATATCCATAATTCTGGTACTAACATCAGATATTGTTGCTGACCATTTCTTACTCATTATTGCAAGAGCACCAGCAGTAAGGTACAGCAGAGGAGAAAGTAAAGTACTAAAAATACCAATGACAACCCCACCTAATGCCCCCGCTGTACCAGCTATAATTTTTCCTGGTGTACTTGTGCACTCATCGATAGCTGCTTGAGCTGCAGCGACAGCGCAAAGCGGAATATTGAAACCTGGAATAGACAAACCAAAAAGAACTAGTGCTGCATCTTCATACTCTTTCGATTTTTCAACGCGTCGATCGTTTATTTCCTTTGCAGTAGAAGCATGACTACTTTGTATTTTCAAATCGATTGATATTTCGATGTGATGAAGCCGAAGACTATGTAATTCTTTCAAACGTTCCGTAAAGTGCACCTTCATGTCATCGATTATGGCGATGAAGTCTCCTGATCCATTCAAATAATCAGTTGCTTTTTTATTCACATACAAGATAGTTTCAGCTGTACGACGTTTCATGATTTCAGCATCACATTCTAACCTCTTATATCCATATCCGATTGTTTTCATTGATTCGATTATATTTTTAAGTTGACCTTTTCCATGTTGTGCTTCCATTTCATCAATGACTTGTTTTATCTCAGATGCAACTGACCTAACTTTTGAGTGATTTTGAGAAACATAGGCATTAAAACCACCTATACGTCCACCGATTTCATCCAATTTTGGATGTTTTCGTAAAAATGTACGAATTTCCTATAACAAATAGCAGGGTGGGGTGGGTGGGTGTGGGTGTGGATGTGGGTGGGTGTGGGTGGGTGTGGGTGTGGGTGTGGGTGTGGGTGTGGGTG